ACAGGAGGAGGAGTGGAAGAAGGGCAAATTGGGAGGGGGTGGAGAGAGCAAGAAAAGGCAGTGGGTAAAAAATATATCAAGGGAAAGCTGAGCTGGAAAGCAATAGAGAAAATAAATAGTCTATAAGCACCTAAAGACTAGATAGTCAAAGAGGGCAGATAAGAACCATTAATTAGCAAACAACAAAGAGTCAGGAAACACTTATCAGACATGTTTCATCAGTCTTTAAGTGTTTCCTGCAAAAGCGGCGAGGAGTCCTGTGGTACCTTATAGAGTAACTGAAGTGTTGGAGCATAAGCTTTCGTGGGCAAAGACCCACTTCGTGCATCTGACGAAGTGGATCTTTGCCCACGAAAGCTTATGCTCCAACACTTCAGTTACTCTATAAGGTACCACAGGACTCCTCGCCGCTTTTGCAGGAAACACTTAAAGACTGATGAAACATCTAGGTGGTATCATGAGATTCTTCAAAGACAAAGAACCACTGTTGCCTTCGTTGTTTGATAGGTAGGTAATGATCTAACCATCTGGTACCTTTGTTTAATCCAGAGGTGTGAGAATTGAACTTGTGAGAAAGTTCCAGTGAAAGTCATGCTGGATCATGACCTGTGGTGCTACCTTTTCCTGCTACATGCCTGGGGGTGGCTGACAGAGCATCTGAAGTGCCCCTTTTTTTTTCTATTCTCATCAGCACAGAGCTACAGTGGAGCCAACCCTTACTTGGAAGTGCTCAGGTAGAAGATTCAGGTTGAAGTGTTCAATTTAAGACTAGAGTTAGTCAAATTATTCCTTCCAAATGTAGCCTTTTTCTGATCAGCGAATCAACTCAGACTCAATCCTGATTCTCTGCAAACATATCTGAAGAGGGGTTTAAAAGAGGTTGGAACTTGGCTATTTTCAGTGGTGGCAAATGACAGAACAAAAACTAATGATCTCAAATTGCAGTGGGGGAGGTGTAGGTTGGATATTAGGAAAAACTATGTCCGTAGGAGGCTGGGGAAGCACTGGAATGGGTTACCTAGGGAGGTGGTGGAACCTCCATTTCTAGAGGTTTTAAAGGCAAGGATTGACAAAGCCCTGGCTAGGATGATTTTGCTGGAGTTGGTCATCGCGTCCAGCCCCCGCAGGACCTCCTGAGAACACTTCCAACCTAATCTTCTATGATTCTATGATATTCAATAACTTGGCCTATACAGTTTAGACTGAAGACAAAGAGTTTGCAGCCTGTGCATTGCTGATAACCAATATGACATTCTATCTAAATCAGGAGTGGAAAAGAGGTGGCTAGCGGGCTGCATCCGGCCCACCAAGCTGCTGGATCTGGCCTGCAGCCGCCTGGCCAACATCCTACTACAGACCAGCTGCTTTAAACAGCAGGTGATTAATTGCTACAGTCTGGGCAGGGTGGCGAAAGCTTTGCACACTGCCCCTGCCTCCTAGCAAAATCTTGCAGCTCCCATTGGCCAGTTGCTGGCCAATAGGAGCTGAGATACTTTGTTGAAGGCAGGGGCAGTGAATAAAGCTTCCTCATTCCCTCCTCCCTGCCTCCTTTCCTGTGCTGGAGCAGAGCCATGTGGAGCAGCCTACCCAGCACACAGGCAGGGAGTCTGCCTCAGGATCCTGCAGCACTGCTGGCTGGGAGCCACCTAGATAAGTGCCTCCCAGCCAGAGCCTGCCTCTAGCACCCCATCCCCTCATCTCCCCCAGCTACCTGCCCCAGGTCACCACCCAAACTCTCTCTATCCCCTCTCCCCACCTCCTCCAGGTCACAACTCTCTCCCAAACCCTGCACCCCCTCCAACACCTCTCCCCCAGCAGGCAGGGCCGGCCCACAACATTTTGGCACCGGAGGCGGGGAGCTCAAATGACGCCCCCATACGCCTTCGCTTGGGCCAAAACTTTGAAAGGTCTCAATTCTGTGGCTCCTAGTGCCCCCCCTCCACACACACTCTGACACCTGAGGCAGCCACCTCAGTTCACCTCATGGTAAGGCCAACCCTGCCCCCAGGCCAGTATCCTCACCTGGACCCATTACCCCTCCTGGACCCGGCATCCTAAGGCCTGTCCCAGATCATAACTTCCTCCTTCATCCAAATTCCCTCTCAGAACCCACAATGCCTCCTGCACCCCAGTCCTCTATCCCAAGCTTCCTTCTACACCCCACCTGCTGTCCCAGACCCCATGCCTCCTCCACAGAAGTGCGACCCTTCACCCCTTACCAAAATCTTGGAGTGCCCTCCCCCTTAAAAATTATTGCCCACCCCTGCCCTTAATTCACATGTTGTTGTTTCTGCTATCCAGATGGATGACAAATGTTTTTAATCAGGAGAACAACAAACAACACTGATTAGTATTCTCAGATATTTGGAGGGGGGAGGTTTAGACATACCTTTGTGCTCAAGTTATGAACATTTCAGAATCTATGAGCATTTCTGAGCTCAGCTGGCAGTTATCCAACTATTTGCACATAACGAGTAATAGGCTCTTCACAAGCCAGTGCAAACTGAACTTTTGTTTTTCTTGTGTTATTTATAATATCTCCCAACAAAATCAGTTATTGCACTAGAGAAATATATTGTAGACTGTGCAGATTCCAAACAAAGTAGTAATGTTTTGCAATTAATGGTTTTAAGCACGAAGGGTAAAATTCTTACTCCACTGATGTTAATGGCAAAATTCTCATTGACTTCAGTAGAGCTGAGATTTCTCCCCAGGATTTTTGCTGTGGGAAGTACAGTGTCTGGAAGCACTAAGGGTACGGCTAGACTACAAGTTTTTGTTGGAAAAAGGTGAGCAAAATGCACTCCGCATTTTGTGTACCTTTTCCAATTCTTTTGTTGGTAGAGGCTTTTCTGACATTTAACCCATCTAGACTGGACCAAAGGTCGGAAAAAAAACCTCTTTCGAAAGCCCTCTTCTTCCTCGTAGAATGAGGAATACAGGGGCTTCTGAAAGAGCGTGTTTGCTCTTCCGCAAAAAAAAGCAGAAGAGCAAAAGTGTTTCCTGGACGAGGTGGAGTTTTTTCAGGATACCTCTGGTATCCTGAAACCCCTCCGCAGTCTAGCCATACCCTTTGGGAAGAATATACAGTATTCAAAGTAGCATGTGAAATAGAACAGAGACATAAGATCAAAGAAAGTTCACATCTTTATAATTAATTAATGATGATGAGCTGATCACTCCTGTTTTTTGTATTAATTGATTCCGTCACCTATAGTGTCTCATTCTATTGCAGCTCACTTGGCTATCCTGCTGTATAAATAATGTGACATTTTACAAACAGGGAGAGCTGGATATGTATCAGGAAAAGGTCTCACAGCTTCCCCCAGTAACTTACTGGGAGTTTAGCCAACCGCTCGTGGTCACACGTTCATCAGGGCAGAGTTTCAGGAATTCCCTCCTCATACTTTACATTTTTGTCTTCTACCAATTTACCAAGGCAAGCACCATGTGAAATCTCCAAAGTAGAGGCATCCAAAGTTAAGAATGAGCAAAGCAAATTCTTTTCTTCAAGAAGGAGGGTCCTAAAGAAAAAAAACCACTTTGGGTTCTTTGTTCTAGTATCCTGGATACCAGAAAACTCCCACGCTTGTCAAAAATAACAGTAGCACCAGCAGTTAATGTTAAAAAAAAAATTAAAGGAGGTCAATACACTGCTGAATTTGAGACAATTAGGTGTTCAAACACTAATTTACACAAATGTAATATGGTTATAGTCTCTTCTGTACAGTATGGGTGAAAAATTAAGGAAAAGAATGCATATGCCACAAGACTAAATACTCGCCACCATCATTACCATCCTCATGCATAAAACATGTCTAGTAATACGCTTCATGCAAACAACAGCACCTCATTCTTTATCTCATTTATCCACATGTCAAATCTTACATCTCTTGGTCATGCTTGTCACAATGAATGCATGAAATTTCTCTCTCCACTCCCAAATTTTAGTCCAAGGGTTTAGGTTTTAAAAACTAGCAGCTTCCAGTTGCCACTAAATGGGAGACTCCTTTCTACACAAAACTGTCCCTTCAGGGGGGAAAAAAGTTCCTGCCACAGTAAACAATTCCAAAACACTGTTTAACTAGAGTACTCAGTGGCACTAATTTACTACTGAGTTTAAAATCAAGTGGCTCCTTTCCTTAACAAGATCTATGGCTTATGCTCCAAAATAAAACACATTTAGAAGAGTGTGCTTCAAAATTAAATAAAGGAAAGCCATTTCCTTTTTAAGGCAAGAGAAACCCTGGAGCCTATTAGCAATTGACAAGGGGAACCTCCAGATACAAGCTAGATGCACAGACAATCATAAAACAACCAGACCTTTGTTTATCACAGTTCAGCATTGACATGTATGCAGATGTGATAGAAAGCCATGATGTATGAAAACCAGCATTTCAGACACCAAAGGAGTTTGCTTCTGATTATAGATTTGTACAATGAACCAGAACGTTTGAAAAAAGTAGCTTTAAATATACATGAACACATACATTGAACAGTAAAGCAGTCCACATTCAATTAGTCTTTCATTGCAGCCTTGTATATTAGTACCTCTGGCCTCTTTTGATATCTTGGCTATTTCAGCACTTTTGAACTTTTTGCGGTTGCTGCTGATGATCATGATGATAGTTCTCAAATTTTAACGTCAGGTGTAACATTTATTTTTTTTAAGGAAAGTGACCTACCAAGTCCAAGACTTTTTTCAAGGGGATCCCCCACCCAATGCTAAATACACAAAACAATGAAGCAGCCCCAGAAAGGAGAGTCACTGGCAACACACAGCAGCCCCAGAAAGGAGAGTCACTGGCCACACACACACACACACACACACACACACACACACACACACACACACACACACACACACACACACACACCTTTCAAAATATAATCCAAAAGGCAGGACGCTAACGGGATCCCCAATGATGTAATAACTTGAATAATTCGAATAAACAATTATTACTAAGCAGCGGCTCCGGGGACTTCAATGTTCATCCTACCTGCTGAAATGTCTGGGACTCTCTCTTTCTTAACAATGCACTTTGGGAACGGAATTAGATCCCGGGGATCTTTTGTTCTGAGCCTGACGGTTCTGGGCGCCCCCCACC